ATTTTTATACTAGCATATTTTGGGGTGGTAATATGAGATTAATGTATATTTTTCAATTGGCTAAATATAATTTAAATTTATTTGTTAAATCTAATTTATAAGTACTTAGGATTAGTGAAGAAGGTTATATTTCTGGCATGGGAAGATATTGATAAATAGGTATTTTAAACTATTTGCAAAGTTCCCATATTGTGGTTGAGATAAAAAAAAATTTACTACCATATTTTGCGATGGTGAACGTATATTTTTATAAAATCTTTATGTAAGGAGTTAATGTTTTACAGCGACATGCTTTTGATCAGATTATACAGGCTATTGCCGATACCTCAATTACTACCAGATTTTTCTATATAGATCCTCCTGGTGGATCACGTAAGACGACATATCTTTATAATACTCTACTACACTATCTTAGAGGACAACAAAAAAATGTCTTACCCATTGCTACCACAGGAATATCCTCCATACTTCTAACCTGTGTAGATTGTCCTGCGTTCAATTGCAACGACTTTAATCTTCCATCTCCTGACCCTATTACTCAATCTAATTTTGACCCAATAATAGAAGCAGATATCGCAATGATAATGTTAGCCAATCTAAATGTTTTACACGACATGCGTTTGATCAGGTTATCAAGGCTATTAACGATACCTCAATTACTACCAGCTATTTTTATATAGATAATGGAAAAAAGAAATACTTTCAATCTCCTTATTTAATGGAATTTACCTCCAAATTTTAGAAAATTCACTGAATGTTCTCAAAAAAAATTTTCCTGTAATAGTTCATGATTTTTTTATTCCCGTCATTCTTGATGGGTTATCAACTAGTTAAGAATAATCGCTAAATCTCCTAGTTCTGTTTAAAATGCCATTTATGTAAAGCAACCAAAAATTTTATAACTTGGTACATATTACCATCCTGGAATTATTCTATTCCTCCTCCTCATGATTTGGTGATGTCAAAATGCTCTTTACATCTATTAATTTAGCTTCTGAAACAGTTCAAGTCATAAAAATCTTGGTTTGGAGATGGATTGCAGCAAGTAAGGGAGAATAAAAAGAAGTTTTTAGTTTACTAGAAGCTAGTGTCTGTTTAATAGTAGCGGTTACTGCTATGACAGGGTGGCACTTAGAGCTTACCATAAAGAATGACTTCTATACAGAACTTGCCACTAGTCTAGTAGAGCTTGTTCTTTGATCGTCATATGAAAGGTGATAATAACAATATGGATGGAAAGGGCTCGCTTAATTGATATATCTTTTTTTTACTACATACTATAAAAGCTAATTCAACGTTTTGTGTGAAATTAGCAGCTCTACTTGAACCTAAAAATCCAAAGCTTTTTGACATGGTGGTGTTGAAAGAAGCAGATGAAGAAATATTAGAGGAAGCTCAAGCTTGGTTAAAAGGTATATGGGATACAATTAGAAGAAAGTTTAAGTTAACACTTTTCCAAACATCATTCTTGTGCCACATATAGGGCCCGTTGTTACAAAATGGATTATTATAATTCTTTGAAATTTATAGATTTATGAGTAAAAGAAAAGGCTAATTTGTTCGACGAAGTATGTGAGCTAAGGGAATTACCCAGGCTTTCAAGCAATGATAAAAATTTTCTGAATACTGTATCTTAAGTCCTGATATAATTTTTAGAATATATATTAAAATAAAATTTTCAAATATTGAAATAGATTATAGAACCTATGCAACTGCACTCACTATTTTAGAAAGTGATGATAAAATATATTTGGGATATTTGAACCAACAATAACCATAATTATTTTAAAATTTAAAAAAAATTAGTGGCCTAAAATATTGTCAACCATTCAGTATTAAATGAAATTACTAAAAGGTTTTAAACCTATAACTAACAAATCAATTATAAATATTTTAATTTTTTTAAAGATTTAAACATATATATGAAGATCATTATGCCCTTTCTGCAATTATATATCCAGTATTCAAGCTTCAATTGCCATAGATAAAATCTCCACAAAACGAACATATAAAAAAGAAACTTATAGCGTTATTGAAAAAGTTTGAAAAACCTAGAAATAATAATAATGCAAGAAATGTTAATCTCGATATATCCTTATCTTTTGACGAAGAAGTAAACGAGGAAGATAACTTGTACCAATTTTTTAAAGCAAAGGACAAAAATATAAATGCTTTTAAAAAATTCACGCGCTATTAGAGTTGTTTATAAAATATAATACCACAATCACCTGCTCGTGGAGAGCGCGTAATGCCGTATTATTAACGGCCAAGCGTTCCTGTCTATCAAACAAAAATTTTGAAAATCAATTGTTATTAAAAATTAATAAGAAATTTTTTTTATAAATAATAATATATTTTTATACATTACAATATTGTTTATAATTATATTATCAAAATAAACTGTTAATACATGGCTAATATATTGTATTAAAAAATATAAGACATTTATTTATATTAAATTAAATGTTTTTTTAAAAAATTTATTCATAAAAGAACGTCAACGTTTTTAGAAATGCTGATAGCACTCCTAGACAACATGTTTTACAATGCTTATATGATAAATGCTGTTAATAAGTTATTTTTCGCTAAATTTCCAGGAGATTTTTAACTATTATAAATGAAATCGAAATTATAGTTATGGAACGCAAACTTTCTGTCGCTAATACTTTTAACTAATACAATAACCAATTACTGGTTTCACACTTATAGTGATAATATTTGGGTTAAAATTATTTTTGCAAATGTTTGTTTCCCCATGTAACATCAACCCCGCCGCATTTTACAATTTCTTATTCGTTAAGAGATTTAAAAATATTGATTCAGTATTTTTTTAAAACTCATATAATTTACAATGGTTTTTTTTATATCGTTAAAAAATAGGTTCTTTATTTTTAAATATATATTATATATCAATATTAGTCATAAGTATAAAAAGCTTTGGAAAGAGATTGTTCTATAGTTATCTATTTCTATAACATCTAGCTTATAATTCAATTTTGTTTATATTTGTATTAGGCATTTTTAATGATATATCAGAAATAAATAATTTTTTGATCATTTATTATATTAGTTATAGAAATCTCTTAAGATTTTTTTTAATATTTTGTATTGAAACTAGTGGCCTTTCCTTCCATGTAATTCCTTCTTCTATTACCTTTCTTAACAAATTACTGGAAAGATGTGTTGCCCCAAGGTGGTATTTTAAACATTCCTATTGATGTTGATTCATTAACATCAGCAATCCACGTAGAATGCATATAGGCTAATGAAACAGGGTGGAAAGGTTTATAAAGATATAAAAGAAAAAGCTTTCGGGAAAAATAATATGTTTAATTGTAATTTAAAAGCTGTTTAACTAAAATACTAAAGTAAGAAATAATATAGTAAAATCATAAAAAAGTAAAAAATTTATGAATGATATGATATCATAACATATGCCCAATTCTAGTACTGAAAACATTTCTAAAAAATCGAACACGTTCGCGTTCAACGTTCACCCTCAAAAAAGGAACATGTTCACGTTCGCTTATGAATAAATTTAAAAAAATAAATGTCTTATATCTTTTAACACAATATATTAACCATGTTAAAAATTAATAATGTTATTTCGATAATATATAATTATAAATACAATATAATATAGTGAATAAAAACATTTTTTTTATTTATAAAAAAAATTTATTAATAATTTTAAATAACAAGTGTTTTAATTTTTGTCTGATATACGGAACACTTGGCAGTTGATAATACGGCATAGCTACATTAAAAACGCGCTCTCCAGGGGCAGATGAGGGGATTGAAATATTATACTTTATAAACAACTTTTTTAGCGAAGGGAATTTTTTAGAAACATTTATCGTTTTGTCTTTTATTTCAAAAAATTAAGACACGTTATCCTCTTCCAATCCATCCTCTACTTCCTCGTTAAAAAAGGAGGATAACTCGAAATTAACATTTTTTGCATTATCATTTCTAAATTTTTCAACGCACTTTTCAATAACGCTATAAGTTTCTTTTTCTATAGGTTCGTTCTGTGGAAGTTTTATCCATGGACATTATAATTGAAGAAAGGAATGATCTTCAAATATATATATATATATATATATTTAAATCTTTAAAAATTAAAATATATGTAATTGATTTAATAGTGATAAGTTTGATAACCTTCGCAATCCCATTTAATACTGCGTCTATCAATGGTTGACCATATTTTAGGCTACTAATTTTTTTTTAAATTTTAAAATAATATCGTTATTGTTGGGGTCAAATACCATAAATACATTTTATCATCACTTTCTAAAATAGTGAGTGCAGTTGCAATAAGTTCCATGATCTATTGCAATATTTAAAAAATTTATATTTATTTTTATTCTAAAAAATTATATCAGGGCGCCAACGGAGGCAAAATAAACTTTAAATGAGCATTATAACTTATGCTCAGGAAATGAATTAATATTCCACGTATATATATTTAAAATAACATTTTAGAGTATTTGACCATATTTGATTAGTCAAATTCGGGGATCTTAACTCTAGAGATTAGGATTAAAAATCTCTCACGTTTATACAAAAAAAATCTATATAGAAATAAGAGGATATTTCAGCATGGTCTTTTATGCACTTCCTATTAAAGGCAATGTGAGCAAAATTATCGTTTTTATCCATTATTATTTGTTTTATTGGTCAGCATCACGTTAATGCCTAGCTTTTCTATGAATTTTTAATAATCATATTGCACAACAAATTATTTAAATTTCTTTGTTAAGTTAATTTTTTAAATTTTTAAAAATACTTTTGTTATGTTACCCATTATTTACCATATGCTCTTAAGATGTTGTGAGAATGTGAGCGCAATATTTTAGTTTTATATGCAAAAAAATATTAGGCTATATGCAATTAAAATTGGGTGAAAGAGGGGAGGGGGGTGTGAAATTCTCCACGTTACCTTATGGAAGACCAACTAAAATTATATATGACATAAGATGTTTATGAATAATTACTCGTTGAAAGCTCTATGACATTCCACAATAAGAAAAGATCCAGGCAGAGCCCTAAACTTTTTAGCAAGCAACTGCTTGCGCTCAGCTAGTGGAATAGAGGTCAAGACTTTTCCATTAAGATATAGTAGGTCAAATGCGGCATAGCAGGGTTGGTAATCAGAATTCTCTTGGAGGTACTTGATATCAAAATCGGGACCTTTGTGACCTTTCAATTTTTAAAAATTTAAAATTTGATATCTGTGATGTACAATTGCCTAGTTATATCCTTAAATCAAGAGAATCGATTGACATGACGGTGATATTTTATTAAGACCAAGGTTGATATTGTTATTTTAGTTTCGGTCCCTTAATATATTTAACTCGTTAATAATTTACAGAAATTTTTTAAAAATTATATTAGTGTCTATGATAATTCATATTAGAAGATAGATTTATATTATCAGAGATATACAAATGTAATCGATTATTAATTTTGGCCATCGCAAATGATTCATTAAGTACAAATCTACTTTTTAATTTTTTTACTGATTATATTTATATTTTATTATATATCTTTTACTTCCTCATATACCAAATGAAAATATAAATAATAGCATAGTTAAATTTGACAAAATTGAATCTTTAAATTATAAAATAAAGCAATTAATTTACACCTAAATCAAAACACGACGAAATACCTATCTTAAAAAACATGTAAATTTCTAGAACGCGGGGTTCAAACCATGGCAGCCTGTAGTTTTGAACTGCATGCAAATGCGAATCACACCATGTCCTATTTTTTTTCGAAATTCAAATTTATTTTCTGCTAATATTTTGTATATAAATATTCATTTTTTTTGAATAAGCATCAGCGCTATAAGGCCGAGAAACAATAGTAAAGGGCAAAAAAATTATATGAGAATAGCCAAAAAAGTGACCTCGTTGCATCTTGATATTTATATATTTAAAAAAATAAGGAATTAATTAGTTGAATTTTATTTTTATAAATTAAAATCAGGCTCGCCCAGTGGCGTAGACAAGAAGGGGTTTTGGGGAACCCCCCCCCCCATAAATCCTGGCTACGCCATTGGGCTCGCACCAGAATATTTTTATATTAAAAATATATATAGTTAAAAATCGGACAGTATAAAGACTGGTTGAAGACTGGCCTGAAGAACCGTGATCCTAGATTTTTTTATTTCAGCCCGGATCAAATATCGGACCGTGACCATCATTCCCTAGATTAATAGCATTGTCCTTTTGAAATATTAAACAAGCCTTAATAAACCTAAATTTAAAGTTGAGATTTGTAAATTTCCGCTTCCGCGATATACTCCATAATTTTCTGCGTGGATATAATTTGGCCTTTTTTATTTAAGCCCTTGCCCGAGAAAAAATCCGTTAGCATTGGAAATAAAATCATAATTTAAAAATAAAAGTTTTTTAGAAAAAATTAGTTCCCTACTACCACCTTCTGTTTTGTATATTCTTATTAGAAAAGACTTAGTCATAATTTTTTTTTTAATATTTTATTATTGGATTTAATCAAATTTTCAAATTCGAAATCAATATTTCAAGATCATAAATTTTACATATCAAATTATTTAATAACACATGGCATTCATTATCCATATCATACCTTTTTTACTATTAAATTTATAACCACTTTATATATTTTAGCATTAATTAAAAAACTTTTAATACAAAATTTTATAATATAAAACTAAAAAAAATTAAATACTATATTAAGGTTATAAGAATAAATATAATCTAAGCTAAATACAACAAGTAATAGGTACTATGAAAAGGATATTGAGGTTCAAAACCACATCTGATTTAAATGGTCTGTCTCTCTGGTATCTATTATTAGTTAACGAGGTGCAAACATAATTTTTCAAAAATTTATTATTAAAAAATGGTAAGAATAGATTTTGTATAAAATCAAGATGTACTTTATACCATCAAAGTATATGAAATTTAAATAATAATTACAACATAAATATTCAAATGTATAAATACGCTACCTATATATATTTGATTTACAATATTTTAAAACATCCATTACAAACAATAAAATATGGATTAATATTATATTAAAAATATTTAGTGTATAAGAAAAATATAGCCTTGATTTTTCTAAAAATACTTTAATTACTAATCTATAAATTGAAAAAATTTTAAGATATTTCAAAAGCCCTCCATGTACTAATGACGTTGAATATACTTATCAATAACTTAAGAGATGAGATATTCGTAAAATAAAAATCCATCAGCTTTGATTTAGAAAATGAATTGCTTTGATTATCTTATTAAGGAACTAAAATCCCCAATATAAATAAAATGAAATAAATAGTTAAATTTAATAAAACCTTTGAAATAAAAATTTTTAAAATTGGACAATTAGATTATGTTAACTAAACAATGGTTCAAAAAAGATTCTTCTGTAGGCATTGATGACTTTCGAGCAATATATCTACAAGATATAATTAAGCCAACCATATATCTATACCAAAATATACTCACACAATTTATAATTATAGATCAGTATTCCTGCGAAAAATTTCTAAACTAATTTGGTCCCGTATTAAATCACACATATCTGACCTACTAAAACCTAACCAGCTTATTCCTGGAGGATGTGAGGCTGCATCCCACTCCGCACGTGTCACTTAAAAAGCATGATCAATGCATCCACAAAATAAATCTACAAAATGCCTTTAATTCAATTAAAAGAGAACATTTTATACCCTCTTTCTGTGAAACATTCTCAGATTATTCAACATACATTTAAGCATGTTACAACTAAAAAAACTTTTTTTAAATTTAATAATTCAGTCATTCTCTCCAAACAGGGTATCCGTATCCAGCAAGGAGATCTCTTAGGTTCTGCATTATTCTATCAGGGTATTCAATTAATCATAAAAGAATCTCTTCAAATTGCGACCTTAAGTTAAATGTTTAGTACCTCATTGTTGGCACACTAGCGGGCCCATTATAATGAAATCATAAAAATAGCTACAATTATAAAAAGTTTAGCCTCCATAACGGGACTGTAACTTAATTCTAATAGGTGTGAATTTTTTATAAAAAAATTTCAGGCCCGGCCCGGATTTTTTTTAAATATATTTTATTTATTTTTGATTTTTACAGCTAATAATGGCGATTTCAAATATTTGGTTTTAAAATATACGGCCAGGGTGAATTTAAAAAAATTAAAATACGGCCCGTGCCGGGCTTAGGGCCGGGCCTGCAGGTCTCTGATACATGGAATTAAATCTTTTGGGATTAAATCTCTTAAGATTTTTTGTTTTTTGGGAGAAGATCGCTCAAGGATATTTTTTTACTTATTAATTTTTTTACATGTTTATTATTTTATTTATTTTTTGATAAAATAATTTGATGTAAATATATATTTAATATTTTTTTTGATTTTTATTTTTATAATATTTAATGGGTTATTTTTAATGTTATTTTCTTCTATATATATTTTTTAAGGTTGCGTCCAAAATGTTTTAAAAAATCCTTAAAATTTTAAAATTTTCGCAAATTAATAACAAAACACTTTGGACATATTTAAGTTTTAAACAAATTAAAATAAAAATTAAAATATTCAAATTGCTTGATATAATTCAATTATTAAAAGATATGTAAATATTTAATCGTGTTTATTATTTTATATTACCTTTCAGTTATTAAACTTTGTATGGACCTATTATTTGATAATGGTTATATTTAAATATTATTTATATACATAATAAATACATATATGTTAAATATAATTTTATCAATGAATCTCTAAATTTTAAATTATTTTTGCCAAAGTTCCTGTTCACTCTTGTGCTTTCCATAAAATTATTTTCTAGGCGATATTCTTCTGGCTAAAATATTGAGTTAGCCTTTTTTTAAATCGGCTCATAACGATATTTTTTAGTGACATAATGCAATTTTATGTAAAGCATAAGAATTCACAGAAACCTCTAGTGGAAAAATGACTTTAAAATTATTCTGTAGAAAATAGGAAAATTTGGGAAGAAATATGAAAAACATAACTTGAATTATGATCAAGTGAAAAGGGAATTTTTAGCTGTGAAGGTTAAATTTAATAAATTACTTTCACCCAACAAAATCTGGTAAAAATAAAAAATTATAATTTAATTTAAAAGGTGATGGAAAATAAGGATCTACTATATGTTGTACAATATATATTGTCGTATTGGGATATGGAATCATGTGAGATTCGGAATCCCAACGTGGGGTTTCGAGATCTTGAATCCCCATGCTTTATTCAAAATCTTTATTTTAAAATATTTTTAAAAAATATTCCTAATCCTCATGTATATTTTTTTTAAACTTTTAAATTATATCTTTTTCTTCCTTTTTTTGCCGTCTGGTTGGCACCAGAAAATTTCCTTTTTTAAAGATATTTTTTCTGTTTTTGTAAATTTATATAAAATAAAATCATGAATATTTTCACCTGAATATATATTTTTAAAAGTCCGAATTATAAAATTATTTATTGCAACTCATTTTGCAATTGCATCACGATTTTTCCCAAAGTTTGTGGCATACCGGGAAGCTCCTAAATATTTTTAGCAGTTTAAATAAAAAATTAATATACTTTATTTACATGAATTAATTTGAGAAGTACATGTGGTTACTATAAAAATAACTTAAATTATCTATGATTGATATATCTATGTTGGGAACTTAAAAATCATTTATTTTTATAGTTTTATATAGACTAGAGGCAATAAATGGTGTTGAAATTCTTCCAGCACACGTTCCTACCCATATTTTATTTTGTTCAATTTTTATTTCCCTTCTAAATTTTTAGGACAGATATTAGTTCTAACTGTCCTATGAATATGTAATAACATGTGATCACCTAATATAAAGTTATTTTGTCCAATTATTTGAGAATAAATTAAGTTTTGACGCTCACGATTATTTAAATTTAAAATAAAAGAATGGGCCCTTATTAAAATAATAGAAATACTTCCCAATATAATTGGTAGCACAACTATTTTTTCATGTAATTTTATAGCCAACATTTTTTGAACATGGACTATTAGTAATATTATGGATAATTTTAGCGCGAATTTTTGTTTGAAACCTTCGCTATTTTAGTAGCGATGTATAGTGTTCACATAATTTTCCTCATTGATAAAAAATAAAAAGAGTGACGGCTTATCTGTGAATATATAAATAACTAATTTTATTTAATAT